TATGGCATGAACCTCCAACTTTTAAAACAAATGATTATTACTATTTTTTTGGTCACACTAAACTTTTAGTTTCAAAACATTAGGTAAAATTTCAACTTTACGATTTTTTTTGACAAGGTTCTAGTTGACCGAGGCCAAAACTGGAGGTTCATGCCATAGCCACACTATCTGAGAGCACTCAGAAAAAAATTGAGCTCGATCGGACCATTCGTTCGGCAGTTATAGTGCACGCCATGCGTCCACGACATTTCGCGACGCGTGTTTTCTCGCAGGCCGTTCCTCGGGTATGCGTGAGGCGTTGGTCAACTTTTTAGCAGTTTTGGACAGAGAAAGATGTGTACTTTTATGTAGCAAACCTAGTTTTCCCTCTGTTGCTTCCATTTCTTTTTTAAAAAATCGCAAAAAAAACACGTATTTTTAGGCCTGCTACACTAGGATGCCCCCTTAACGAAAAAACCATGACGACACCCCCACGGAAAAAATGACTTCGTTGTGAGGATCATTTTTTTCCGTGCCTGCACTAAAAATTAGCCATGGTATTTTCGTCATCGTGACAAAGAATTTTCACAGTGTTGTATCCGAACCCCTTCCGTGACCCGCTGCTGGCGCGTCTTGTTTTATTCAGGGACGGCTCGACTCGACGTGTCCGTCCGTGTCGTGAGCTTCGTATATCACTATGGTAAAAAATGAAAAGGGCGTACGTCAAATGAAAAGTCCGAGGACTTACGCCTTTTTCACTTTTCACCAGCGACATTCCATGCAGTCGAGTCGTCAGCAGGCGGTGGACGCCGGGCTGTTTTAGAGTTGGATTAAGCCGCTTCCTTTTCTTTTTCATTCTTTTTGATGGGCGGTGGAGGCGTGGCAAATTGACGCAGGCTTTTTTAGGAGTTGTAAAAATTGTCGGTGCAGTGAAGTAGATTTAAGCCATTGACAGAAACGTGGTTTTGTGGATATGCTGGCGTGTGCGGGCGGGTTTTGTACGCTCGCGGTGGAGCCTACGTCCCGTAACTGTGGTCAGTGACGATGGGTGGGAGGAGGGCAGGAGGAGGGGGGGGGGGGCGCATGCCGCCCGCCTAGGAAATTGGGGGAGGAAGCAGCCGTAGGGTCACGCGACCAGCCCGCCGTCTTAATTAGGGGAAGAAATTGTTGGCATTATTGTAGGGGCCAACCCGCCACCCACCGACGAGAGAAAGAATGGGAGGGGGGCTGGGTGGACCTCGCTGCCGGTGGTGCGGCTGCTGTCGCTTTGTTGCTGTTGGTTCCCGATGATGGTTATGATGCACAACCCTCGCGCCTCCGCTCCGCTCGCGATGAGCACCTGCGAAATGTGCGACACCGACGCGAACAAACCCCCCCCCACCCCCTCCCTCTGCCCCGCCGCCGTCCACCGATTCAGACGCTTTTATGCACAGTCGCTCCCTATCGCGGTGAGGTGGGGGCTGGGGGTGCTATCCGCCCCGCCCGCGCAGCGCGTGGATGGCCGCCAGCCGCCGCCAGCCGCCGCCAGCGCAGCCGTGTGCTCGTGCCAGATCAGAGCGAGGGGCATGGCGCGTCGTAGCGTTGTGTGCGCAAAGTGCAAGCAGCGAGCAGCGCCCCGACCCAAGGGAGGCGGAGGGAGGGGGAGCAGGACCCCCCCCCCCTACTTTTCTCTTTATCCCTCTTACTCTCTTTCGCTTCAAATTTTCTCTCCTCTCTCTTCCCCGCCCTCTGTCCTATGGGAGTCCGCATGAGGACACATTCAGGAACCATTTAGTTAATCGAATCAGGGGGTTGTAAAGAACAAAATTTGGTTCATGCAAGCGACTTAAATTTTAGTAACATCATTATTAACTAAATATGGTCGCAACAATCATACTGAATTAAGCGTGAATAAACTATTCCATCGCTACGAATAGAATATTTTTTTTGTTCACTGTAATCTGGTCGTCGATTTTTATAACACCAAAACGAAAATTTCTAGTTTTGAATTTGATTCTCTGGAATTCATGGTCTTGGGTGCATGGAGGCCGCCTGCCTGCGCTGTGCGCCGTACACCTCCGCCTCCCAACTCACACGCCTGGCGCCGCCCGGCGCCTCGCGCCTCAGAGTCAACACGCCGCTTACAGGTGAATTGGAGTAAATCTGCTTCCAGCCCCTCCAGCCTTCTCGTCTCCTTTAGCCCCCCCC